GCTACAGTTCAGAGCATCCAACAATATAGTTATTGAATTACTGATTGTGAATTTGTTAACTTCTTTAGCACCATATAGTATTGTGGTGGATCATGGGGATGGTAAAGAAATCTCTTTGTTACACGAAGAGCATCATGTGAATCCTGGCTTCCAGATGTTATTGATTTTTATCACAATTTTTATGAATGAGAACCGTATAAGGATTAGAATCTGCAGCATCATTTTTCTGCCTTCAAGTTTCCTTTTTTTGTTAAATACAACTTTTTCCATTGGTCTTCTTTTTTATCCCTTGTATAGGCATCTGTCATTATTTCTTTTATTACACTTTCTGCAATTATATACATACTTTCTTAAGGACTCATTCTTCCACACCTTCATCTTTCTCAGTGTGTGTACATCACAACTGCTACATATGTGTAATAAAATACAGTACTTGGTATACTGTAGTCAGTGGTATAAATAAACTTGCAAGAAGAAATAGAGGGTAAGAAAAGAAATGTACAGACCTCAATATGAGATCAAAATAACATGCAGTACGTACTTCTCTTAACTTGCATTTTATATTATTCATGTGAATTTTTTGTGCCATTGACCAGTTTTATTACACTTTATATTTATGTTTAGCTAATTTTCAAGCACTTCAAAAATCTTCATTACTTAAAAGGAGTTAGAGTACTTGATCAGAATTCAGACTAATGCTACTCCTTAAGGGAGTTAGACAAGGGAACAACAAACAAGGCTCAAAGATAAAGAAGACTGAAGCCTTCCATTACATTGTTCTGCAACATATTGCTTGATAATTTCCTAGATCAATCTTTATGTAGTAATAAATATTTCGTCAGTGTTTTATTGTGTAAGTTATTAATTGTACACTGTATTATATAATAATTTTATTTTATTTTTATCATAATCTTTTGGTGTCCCTGAGTAATGTTACCTGTAAAACACTGAAATTAGCAACTCAAATCTTATTCTTATTAGATTTCACATATGCTATTGCTCAGTATTCCTGATATGCAAAAAGTTATTCCAATGCATTGTTGCTAACTTTCAGTGTTTTTACAGGTGGCAGGAAACGGGACATAAAATGGAGGCGTCGGTGTGGAGGGTAGCAGACTGTGTGACACGTCCAGCAGTGCACAAGCTGCCTCCACTTCTCACTCGGCTCTCTCTCTCTTCACTGTTGTCTCAAAGAAAATATCTTGAAATCTACATCATGTTATTTCTGTCACATTAACAGAATAAGATTTTTTCAAAGTTATTTGCAGCCATCAGAGATATTATGAATTTTAATTTAACTTATTCTTTGTCTACAGAGGTACTGTACTTCAAAACATGACCATGTGTAAAAGACAGTGGAAAAAGAAGGGATGGCTCTATTTGCTGAAAATTTTATCTAGAGAAATAAGACTTTTTTTGACATTATATTTAGTGGGGAAAGGCAATGAAAGTGTTCTTAATTTTGCATTAACTCTTTAGGATGGAGCACCTTGGAGGAGCTAGTGTTGGGTGGTATAACTGGGATCTTGTGACAAATAAGGTTCAGGTGGACCTTATGAGTGCTGATGTAGCCCACCAGATAAATCAGCAAGTTCATGCTTCATATGGAACTCCTCAACATGTATCTGTGCAGCTAGCAGTTCCTCAGGCTTCACGAGGAACACATGCCTTACCCGCTGATACTCCTAATGCTACCATTGTTCCTAAACAACCGGGATCGCGACCACCAAAAGTGCGAAATGCTCATGGTGAGAGGGTGTCATGTCTAGAATGTGGGAAAACATATGCATGCAATGCAAATCTTCGTGATCACATGAGAATACATACCGGTGAAAGACCATTTATTTGTGATGAATGCGGGATGACTTTTACCCAAAGATCAAATCTTCGAATGCATAAGCGTGTCCACACTGGTGAACGACCATACATGTGTGGTGTGTGTGGTAAAACATTTTCTAGGTCATCACACCTACCAGGACATATGCGTCAACACACTGGAGAAAAGCCATACACATGTGAAGAATGTGGACAAACATTTACAACAAGTCAGAGCATGAAAAATCATAAACGAATTCATACTGGAGAAAAGCCCTACGTATGTGATGTTTGCGATGCTGCCTTTACCCAAAGTTCTACACTATCTACTCACAAAAAATCGCACACTGGAGATAAACCTTTTAAATGTGATATTTGTAATAAAAGATTCATATTCCGTTCAGGACTAAATGAACACATGATTGTACATAGCAGAGATAAACCATACCAATGTGACCAGTGCCACAAAAGATTTAAATACTCAAATTATTTGTCCAAGCATAAAAAGAAATACTGTGGCAATGATGGGTACCGGAAACGATGGCAAAAATCAGGAATAAAGAAACCTTCAGGACGAAAAATAAACATGGTATGCAAGACTACCTCATCAATAAGATTTCCAGCCTCTCGCACATTAAGCGATATTCAAATTAATACTGATGATGATGATGATATCTCTCAGCTTGATGAAGAAGAAGAAGGAGAGGATACAGAAGAAGAAAGGCAAGAAATATTACACCAAAATAGAGTATCCCAATACGAACGGAAGAAAGAGAAAGTGCCACTACATATTTCTGATGATGGAGACTGGATAAAAGCTTGGATAAGACAGGGCTTTAAATAGCGCTAAAATTCCAAAGAATAAATGAACAGTTATTATTTTAGAACTGAAGTGAATGACATAATTTGTCGTCTTTCAATTTGTTTGCCAAATTATTACATGCATTATTGTGCCGACAGATAAAGTTAAACAATACAACACAAAGATTCTTATACTGTTGCAGATATCATGCTAAATCTCATTAGATCACTGGTATATAATACCAACATGTACAGAACCTGGGTATTTTTTATTGGGAAACTTTTACCCACCAAGAGCTTTAGCAGTCTAATAGAGACACATGAGACTAGACACTTTTGAAAGTCTATCTTCATATCAGTGTATCAGATTGATAATGCCCCTAGTGAGTAAAAGATCTCATTAAAAATATCCAGGTGTTGTACTTGTGTCATATTCATCATGCCAAGTCTCCATACATATAGCATTCCATTTCAGTAGGCATTCTCTTTGTTCATTATATTTTGCCATAGGACAAGTCAAGCTATATTTTTTGTTCTAGATTATGAGTTTTATGTTACAATGATTTATAATGACTCATTTTTTAATACAGGAAAATGATCCTCACTGTATATTTAAAAAGCACATTTATTTATGTTGCCAAATGTTATGGCCATTAAGCATAAAGTATACCAAATTTTATGAGAATTTTTATTTGGAAAATTTTAAACATTTAAGTCCCCCCCCCCCCCCAAAAAAAAAAAAAAAAAAAAAACTTTAAACTTACAAAGTTTTAATAGATATTATTAACCTTTTCCCTGCCCAGATCCCCCAAATTAATATTGATTTCTGTCCACATTTTTAAAACAAAATATCTGAAATTGTAGAGATTTTTTTTTTTTAAGGTACTGACACCAAAAGTATGAAATTTAATGAAAAACTGAAAAACTTATGAACTTATGCAGGCACAGCAGCGTTGTATAGCCCTTGTGGCTTAGCGCTTCTTTTTGATTATAATAATAATATGCAGGCACAAAGCTATCAGTCTGGGTGGAATATATGAATTGGCAGCGTTTTGCCCGCTTCAAAGTCCTATTTTAAGCCAATTCCATTGCTCTATTTGACCAAATTTTTAGCAGTTTTACTAGTCTACTTCCATTATATTGATTGAGCACAAGAAATTGTCCATTTAACTATCAGAACTATCCTGTAAAGTGTACATAAATTGGTAATTTGGCCAATTTTACACAAAATTAAAAAAATTCAATATAAAAATAAAAGTCCAAAACAAATATTGTAGACATTCCAGGCACTAAAACATTATTTTTGTTCATTAATCATGTTCCCAGGCCTCTTCTATATTGTACTTGCCTTCCATTTTGAGTTCATCATCATAAAAACAAGCAAAGACTTACCCTATTTCTCAGATAAAATATAACCAGAAATGAGTGGTCATGGTTTATGGAATCCCAATAATTGAATCAGACCTATTAAAAACCCATAAAACAGACCAGGGGTATAAGGGGGGGGGGGAGGGCTTTACCTGTCCTCAAGAAAATCAGCAAGAATTGAATATTTCAGTTACTTTGAGCCTAATTTCAAGCTACTTCCAGTCCTAAACAACCAAAATCATATTTTTTTCAGTAGTATATCTTCCATTTTATCAAATAATACAAAGAAATAGAAAAAAGTATTAAAAACCATCCTAGAAAACCCTTCAAAGTCATTATTTTAAACCAAACATAAGGCGAGCGTTTTGCCTCTTCTATCATGCACTGTGGGGGAGTAGGATTATTTTACACTGTGTACACTGTATAGGCCCATTATCTCATATCAAGGCCAAAATTCACCACTCACAGCTTAACTGTGGGAGCTGTACTCAAAATGTAGATCTACACCAGGGACTCAGGCATCAAAAGCTGTCAGGGACCCTGACATCAATAACATAGATTTACGTGACGGCCACTGAGAGGATTAAGTCTTATAATTTCTGTTAACATTCCTCATTGTATCTCTTTAGTTTGTGTATTCAATACCTTGTAGACTTCCTTTCCTGTGTGCCTCATTTTGCAGCTCATCCTACCTCTCATTTCTGTTCTTCATTTTGAAGTTCTTCCTACCTTTTACTTTTCACTTCCACCTTGGATACCTTTATGCTTTACCACTACCCTTTTCTCCTTCCCTTTTCAAAGACTTTCTTATCTGCTATTTACTTGCTTTCTCCCTTTATTTAGCATTTCCAGTTGCATTCTCTCATACTTGATGTGTACAATAATGGTTTTATCTCATTGTAAAAGTATTTTTCACTTGGATTTTATGCCCTACTTTCAGCCATCATCTATACTGCTATCATGTCTTCCTTATGTTTTTCATGTGATTCTATCAGTGCACTGCAAGCAATTCAGTCTTTTGATTCTTCTCATCCCCTTGGTAATTTCCATGTAAGTGTTACCTTGTTTCATCTCTGGATCCCTAATCATTCTGGAATTCCAGACAATGAACTTGCTGACTCCTCTAAATATTCAGCATTTTGGAAGCTTCCAGCATCCCACAGGCAATTACTGTATACCCAATTTTCACCCAGTACATATGAGGTTGCTGGCAGTACTATTAGGCATAAAGATACCCAATAAGCTGTTTTCTATAAACACACCTGGCCAACTGACCATCTTTGCATTATCATTACACTGAGCATACCATTCACCCATGGTCATCTCATGGTTGGGCACTACTTCACTGAGTGAGGTTTACAAAAACCATAATGTCCATCACATCATATTAAACTAATTTGTTAATCTTTACATACATTGTGTTTACTTTCAGTCTCTATTTTCATGCTCAATCATCCCTTTTCTGTAAAAGTTCCAACTTTAATATAGAGGCTATCTACAACCTTTTACCAGAGACCTGTTACACTGATTTTTCTTGTAATTCTCCTGTCCTGTCCTGTCCGCCTTGTGCCTTTTGACCTTTTTTTCTTTTGATGGGCATTCTTTTCTGCTGTACAGTGCTGAATGACCCTCCTGGGTTGAGCACTTTTCATTAATAGTATTATTACCGAGTGATCTTTATTACTTTCATGTTTATTCTACTTTTACTTTTCAATGACTATTCAAAATGATAATTTTGCTTTTAAATATATACTGTATATAGATAACCATTCCTGTAAACTTAGAAAGCTGCTACAAGAATGTTGTGTTGGGTGAAATCTGTAACATTCAGATATACTTGCTCAGTTTTCTTACTAAACTTTCAGGATGTTTATCATAATTTCATTTGTATCAGTCCACATCTGGATGAAGACATGTCCCAAGCCTTTTTCCTATTTGCTTCCTCACACTTGTGTACTGTATTGACATCTATCCACCCACTGGGAGCAACACAGCAATCAACATTTATCTTCATTAACCAATTTCCCATCTTCATGGAACAGGGAGGCACATGCTAGGAAGAGGTAGAAAAATATATATTGTACAGTAATAGTCACACTAACATGACAGGAAAGTAGTATATTTAAGCTGTTTTGTGGGTTGTGTAATGTACAGTGAAACCTCGGTTTTCGTGATTAATTTGTTCCAGAAAGTCAGACAGAAACCGAACTGTGATGAATGGTTTTGAAAACCGACAAGTTGAAAAATTGAGACACTTACGCAACATATGAGAATCTTTAATTTAGAAATGTTTCGCCACACAGTGGCTTCAGTCCAATACAAAGTAGAAATGGGTAAGGAGAGGAGGAGTTTGAGGTAATCAGTACCTCACCCTGGAATCGATGTGTTCAATCCACCACTCTTGTAGGAAGTACAGCATAGGGCCAGAGAGGTGGCTTATATACTGCAGTCAGGTGAGTCAAAGCAGGAGGAGGTGGGATCACAGTGGGACCTTCCACTAGTGTAAGTAGGTTGTCGTCCAAAAGTTGGACAAGCGCTGAAGAGGTCTATGTACCAAGATCCCATGATGTTGCAGTGTCTGACAGATGTGATGAATGGTTTTGAAAACTGACAAGTTGAAGAACTGAGACACTTATGCATCATACGGGAATCTTTATCGAAGAAATGTTTTGCCACACAGTAGCTTCATCAGTCCAGCTCAAAGTAGAAATGGGTAAGAAGAGGAGGAGTTTGAGGTAATCAGTCCCTCACCCTGGAATCGATGTGTTCAGTCCATCACTCTTGTAGGAAGTACAGCATAGGGCCAGAGAGGTGGCTTATACACTGCAATCAGGTGAGCTGAAGCACGAGGGGGTGCGATCACAGTGGGACCTTCCACTAGTGTAAGTAGGTCGTCGTCCAAAGGTTGGACAAGCATTGAAGAAGTCTTTTGTATTGGACTGATGAAGCCACTGTGTGGCAAAACATTTCTTCAATAAAGATTCCCATATGTTGCATGTGTCTCAATTCTTCAACTTGTCGGTCTTCAAAACCATTCATCACATCTGTCAGACACTGCAACATCATGGGATCTTGGTACAAAGACTTCTTCAAATCTTGTCCAACCTTTGGAGTTTTGAGACTCTATGACCGCGGGTTCAATCCCGGCCGGGGGTATGGCTTATTTGCAATCGTGTCATTACGATTTCTTGAGTCACCCAAAAATATTAACAAAAAATACATTTTATAGAGAATAATTATAGTTTTGCATACAGAGAACAATGAGACATAAATATAAATTACTAAAGAAATAGATACATGAACATTTAATATCACTTTTACCTTTATTGAAGACTCTTGTTGGCATATGGAAGACGGCAAGGAGGGAAGAGGGAGGAGGAGAGGTTTATTGTTTGGAAGGGGAATCCTCCTCCATAAGGACTTCAGGTATCAAGGCCCTATCTGGGATTACTTCCCTTCTTTGTCTTTTACTGGCACTAGGACCAGCTTGAGAGTCACTGGACCCCTGTCACAAAAAATCTGTCCAGAGAGGTCTGTTTCTGGTGTCTCTTTAAGATTTGCCTAAAATGGGACAAGGCATTGTCATCAAACATCTTGCAGACACAGCTTGCAATAGCTTTGTTAGGGTGATATTTCTCCACAAAACTTTGCAACTCATTCCACTTTGCACACATGTCCTTAATCACTGAAGGCACATTCTCCCCTCTCTCTTCCTCCTCCTCTGCGGATGTACAAAAACTGGGACAAAATTTAGACGAAAAAGCCATCCAAATCCGAATCCTACAAAAAGCAGGACACACAAAAACCAAGGTTCCACTGTATATACAGTAACATGAATTAAAAGTAAATTGTTTTACGTACATTCCTTCCTTCCTAAGGAGTTACTTCCACTCAGTCCTGTTCATTGCCACTGTGTTTTGCCTACATATCACATTATATCATGCTACCATCAGTCATTAGTATTCACTTTTTGGCGCCTTATCAATATTCATGTGTTCGAAACAGCCATTCCATGTGGAATACATGGAATGTTTCCATGTACATTTTCAGGGTTCTTTATTTTTAATCTAGAGCCATCAAGAAATGGCTGACCCTCTGAAATGCTACTATTTAAAAATAGATGTATGGATGAACAGTATGACAACTCTATTATCCCAGAGGAAAGAAAATACAGATACAATATTGCTGGTGTTAGTGTCTAGGTGGATTGTGAATTCAGTAACCCTCATAGTGCTGCTGGGGTGAAAAGCTGAAAATTTTATTAAGGTATACCTGAAGTAATTTGGATTAGGTGCTGCTTATATGCCAAAAATAATTATATTCTTACTGAACCAAAAAAATATAAAATTTCTATAACTGCTATAAGAGGATTACAAAACTGTTAATAGAGAATGATCATGTGGCAATGACCTCAGCATTGAAATGAATAATAGCATATTTATTTTTATTATCACACTGGCCGATTCCCACCAAGGCAGGGTGGCCCGAAAAAGAAAAACTTTAACCATCATTCACTCCATCACTGTCTTGCCAGAAGGGTGCTTTACACTACAGTTTTTAAACTGCAACATTAACACCCCTCCTTCAGAGTGCAGGCACTGTACTTCCCATCTCCAGGACTCAAGTCCAGCCTGCCGGTTTCCCTGAACCCCTTCATAAATGTTACTTTGCTCACACTCCAACAGCACGTCAAGTATTAAAAACCATTCGTCTCCATTCACTCCTATCAAACATGCTCACGCACGCCTGCTGGAAGTCCAAGCCCCTCGCACACAAAACCTCCTTTACCCCCTCCCTCCAACCTTTCCTAGGCCGACCCCTACCCCGCCCTCCTTCCACTACAGACTGATACACTCTTGAAGTCATTCTGTTTCGCTCCATTCTCTCTACATGTCTGAACCACCTCAACAACCCTTCCTCAGCCCTCTGGACAATAGTTTTGGTAATCCCGCACCTCCTCCTAACTTCCAAACTACGAATTCTCTGCATTATATTCACACCACACATTGCCCTCAGACATGACATCTCCACTGCCTCCAGCCTTCTCCTCGCTGCAACATTCATCACCCATGCTTCACACCCATATAAGAGTGTTGGTAAAACTATACTCTCATACATTCCCCTCTTTGCCTCCAAGGACAAAGTTCTTTGTCTCCACAGACTCCTAAGTGCACCACTCACCCTTTTCCCCTCATCAATTCTATGATTCACCTCATCCTTCATAGACCCATCCGCTGACACGTCCACTCCCAAATATCTGAATACATTCACCTCCTCCATACTCTCTCCCTCCAATCTGATATCCAATCTTTCATCACCTAATATTTTTGTTATCCTCATAACCTTACTCTTTCCTGTATTCACTTTTAATTTTCTTCTTTTGCACACCCTACCAAATTCATCCACCAATCTCTGCAACTTCTCTTCAGAATCTCCCAAGAGCACAGTGTCATCAGCAAAGAGCAACTGTGACAACTCCCACTTTATGTGTGATTCTTTATCTTTTAACTCCACGCCTCTTGTCAAGACCCTCGCATTTACTTCTCTTACAACCCCATCTATAAATATATTAAACAACCACGGTGACATCACACATCCTTGTCTAAGGCCTACTTTTACTGGGAAATAATTTCCCTCTTTCCTATGTACTCTAACGTGAGCCTCACTATCCTCGTAAAAACTCTTCACTGCTTTCAGTAACCTACCTCCTACACCATACACCTGCAACATCTGCCACATTGCCCCCCTATCCACCCTGTCATATGCCTTTTCCAAATCCATAAATGCCACAAAGACCTCTTTAGCCTTATCTAAATACTGTTCACTTATATGTTTCACTGTAAACACCTGGTCCACACACCCCCTACCTTTCCTAAAGCTTCCTTGTTCATCTGCTATCCTATTCTCAGTCTTACTTTTAATTCTTTCAATAATAACTCTACCATACACTTTACCAGGTATACTCAACAGACTTATCCCCCTATAATTTTTGCACACTCTTTTGTCCCCTTTGCCTTTATACAAAGGAACTATGCATGCTCTCTGCCAATCCCAAGGTACCTTACCCTCTTCCATACATTTATTAAATAATTGCACCAACCACTCCAAAACTATATCCCCACCTGCTTTTAACATTTCTATCTTTATCCCATCAATCCCGGCTGCCTTACCCCCTTTCATTTTACCTACCTATTAAGAGGTAAAGAGCTAAATTTCAATATATTATCATACATTGTATGATGCCAAGTCATATACTGTGTCTGTGGTTTGACTGAAGTACTGTACTGTATTTAGTAAAAAGAATCTCAATATTTTCCAGGAGACAAAAAAACTCTTAATCAATTTGGCCTTTTCTGCAATTTTTAAATAATTGATTTATACTAAATTACAGTAGGTAGGGTGTTGGGCATCTGTGGAAAGAAAGAAGTTTATGGAGGCAAAAATGGGAACTGTACCAGAATATGGTTGTACCAACACTTTTATATGGGTGCGAGACATGGGCTTCAAATGTTGCAATAAGGAAAAGGTTAGAGGCAGTGACAATGTCACGTTTGAGAGCAATGTGTGGTGTGAATATTATATAAAGAATTTAGAGCAGAAATAAGATGGTGTAAGATTAACAGAGGTAGAATTGAGAGGGCTGAGGAGTGGGTTGTTGAAGTGGTTTGGGCACGTAGAGAGGATGATGTAGAATAAGATGACATAGAGGGTGTATACTCTCAGGTGGAAGGGGGGAGGGGTAGGGATTGTCCCAGGAAAGGTTGGAGGGAAGGGGTAAAGGAGGTTTTGAATGCTAGGGGCTTGAGCATCCAGTAATCTTATATAAGTGTGTTGGATCAGAATGGAGACAAGTTGTCTTTTATGGTCTGGCGTGCTGTTGTAGTGTAAGGTAACATATATGAAGGAATTCAAGGAAATGATTAGTTGGACTTGTCATGGAGGTGGAAGTACAGTGCCTACACTCTGAGGGAGGGTCAGAATACTTTAGTCCTGAGGACAGGTTGGAAGCAGTACATTTGTAGACTTTTGAATTCGAGAAGGAGTGATACCTAATTTTTGCCGATAACTGATACCACTGCTGAAACTTAAACCAATATAGATACCATCAAAATTAGCTGATATCTACTAATATTGGTACCGATACCATCAAATTTGGCCACTACCAACCGATATCAATACCATCAAAATTATCCAATAACCACTGATACCAATACTTTGGTACACCTCTGCTTTGAAACAAAACATGCATCATGTTGTATCTGATACGATACAGTTAAGGAGCTGAAATTTCAACTAAAAACAATGACTCCAACATTACAATTAAAATTGTGGATTCACAAAAGTTCCACCAGGAGGCAGTAAAGCCTAAGTTACTGATGCCACATATATTAATTTCATGCAGCATATTGTTGGGAGTTAAATACATTATATTGCATTAAGTTAATACAGTATTCTGTTTTAAGTTAATATGGCATACTGTATGTGTAATGTGTTACAGAATGCCAAAGTGTGTATACCAAATCTTGGCAATGGCATGAAACCTTTTACAGAATTATTACCACACAGCAGGTTGTGAGGTCCTGCTGGGCTATTAATGCTACAGTGGCTTAAGGCAAGCCGTTGGGTGCCCATTTACACTAACCTCTTTTCCACAATATGGATGTATTTCTTTGTACAATGACTGTACGTACTTTAATGATAGCTGTGTTAGGAACGCTGACTTTAATTGTACCTCCAGAGTTACTTGGTCTGTCTATTGTTTAGGTAATGGCTGAGGAGTTGCTTACAGGGATTATTTCTGTTTAAGATACTGTCTACATACTTGGGTCACATTCTTATATAACTCAGGCTGAACTATATTATTATTATTATTATTATATAAAACACTTAAAACTCATGTGAGTGTTATCAGATCAGTTCTTTCTTCAGTCATTTGCTCTGTTGTGAAAAAAATAAATTATCACTTAATTTCAGTACTACAGTACTGTTTACCAGGTTGACTATACATTCTTTGTCTCAGCTTTTTGTTAATTATCTTTTGTTATGATACTACTGACTGTTTGTTGGTGAATGAGAACTCAGTGAAAAATTATGCTAATCTTCAGTACTAAAAATATTTTTTTATTTGGTGTACTATTGTTTATTTCATGTAAAACAATGTAGTCTAGTCTTAAATTATGAATATTATATAATGATTATGTATATTATATAATGATTTGGAATTAACTGAATAATACAATGAGCCAGTTAATAATTTACCAGTTATACTGATACTTAGAAATATGGTAAGTAAACCATTTTATACAAGTTAACAAGTTATACAAGTTAACAATAATATTGTATGATTGACAGCAGTTATACAAGTTACCGTAATAATATTGTATGATGGACAGCAGTCATAAAAGTTACCATAATTAAACTGTATAAACATAGCAGTACTTTACTGCATTTTCTTATTATAATAGCTATTACATTTTTTAAACTACTAGGGAAAAGTAACAGCTATTGAACATTTTTGTTATATCATACCTCTTTATACTTTTTGCAGATTTGCGATCCCTAAAGATGAAAACTGAAGAAAAGTCTATGTGAATCATATGAGTGCATACCATCAGAATGGAACAGTTCCCACGTGCCCACATGGTGGCTCACACAGCCTCACCTTCAACTGTATCAACAACACAACACACCACCACCATGAATGCTTATAGTTACAGTGGTTTAGAAGAATTCCTTGTGCCTCCTGTGCAAGTTGAACTGAAGGGCAATGTAGCAAAGCAAATCAGTCAACAAGTGCAAAATGTACATTTTACAAATGTAGCCCAACTGCAACCAATGCAGCTTACAGCAACTGCTCCAACTCCAAGAATTTCTGAGAGTCCAGTATCTGCTTTAGGATCCCAAATAGGAACACCTGTTGAGCCTCCAAGACCTAAACCCTCACCAAGACCCCGTGTTCGTAGTGGTACTGGAGAACGTGTGAAGTGCTCTGATTGTGGAAAATCTTTAGCATGTGGAGCAAATCTTGCTGAGCATATGCGTACTCATACAGGAGAACGTCCTTTTGTGTGTGACGAATGTGGAGCTTCCTTTGCTGCCAAATCAAATTTAAGGACTCATAAACGACTGCACACTGGTGAAAGGCCATACATGTGTGGTGTTTGTGGTAAAACTTTTTCTCAGAGTTCTCACCTGCCTAGCCATATGAGAGTGCACACTGGAGAAAGACCTTACAAGTGTCCAGAATGCCCCAAGTCTTTCTCTTCAAGCACTACCTTAAGAAATCATCTCCGCATTCACAAGGGTGATTGCCCATTCAGGTGTGAGTTATGTGGACGAGGGTTTGTTTGTAAATCATGGCTACAGGACCATTATAAAGTTCATACTGGAGAAAAGCCATTCCAGTGTGATACCTGTAGCAAGTGGTTTAAAGATAAATCATATATAACTAAACATAAAATAAAGTATTGTGGTAATGATGGCTACAAAAAGCGTTGGACAAGACCTGGTGTTAAGAAACCACCTGGAAGGAGGCCAGGTAGTTATTCAAAGCCTAAAGTTATTGAAGAAGATGATTCTGATCAGCCAAAACGACCAAGAGGTCGCCCCAAGGGGTCAAAAAACAAAAGGGGAAGGAAGAAAAAAACAAAAAATGTACGTAAGAAAAAAAATAATGCAGCCACTTACTCTGATGCTGAGTTTGAAGAAATGCTGCAGGAGCATGAGTCAGATAAATCAGAATTACCCAAGGCAGAAGAGGCTTCCAGTAACCCTGAGGAAGAAGCAGCTTTATATTTAATTAGCCAAACACATCAACAGAACCACAATGAACAAGAGGACCCTAATGAGTACCACCATTATCAGTTTTTACCACAAGAGCATCAATCACAATCAGAAACTCATTCTAACAAGCCCAATGATTCTCTGTCAATGCCCCACATTCCTGTTGGGCAGCTCCATGTTGCTATGCCTCACACTCCATTGCAAACACATGTTCAGCAAACACATGTTCAGCAAACTCATGTTCATCAAACTCATATTCATCAGTCACTTGCCCAACCTCAAAATCTTACACAATCTCAAAATCTAGTACCCCAAAACCTTACACAATCTCAAAATCTAGTACCTCAAAATCTTACACAGTCTCAAAATCTAGTTCAACCCCAAAATCTTACACAGTCTCAAAATTTAGTTCAACCTCAAAATCTTACACAATCTCAAAATCTAATTCAACCCCAAAATCTTATTCAACCCCAAAATCTTGTACAGCCTCAAAATCTTGTTCAATCCCAAAATCTTGTTCAACCTCAAAATCTTTCTCAATCTCAGAATCTTAACCAGCCTCAAAATCTTTCCCAACCACAGCATCATTCACAACCACACAACCTCTCTCTTGCACAGAGTTTATCACAACCACAAAACCTATCCCTTGCCTCCAAACTTGTTCAATCTCAAAGTATTCATCAGCCTCAAAATCTATCACAGCCTCAGAATCTTTCCCAACCACAGAATTTATCACAACCTCAGAGTCAGTCTCAGCCCCATAATTTATCCCATACTCAGACAGTTTCCCAGCCTCAGAATCTCTCTCAGTCCCAAAATTTGCCACAGTCATGTTTGGCTCAGCCTCAGAATTTGTCTCAACCACAAAATCTGTCACAAAATGATAGTTTATCTCAACCTCAAAATCTTTCTCAGCCTCAAAATTTATCCCAGCCTCAGAATTTGAGCCAGTCTCATGTATCACTTCAAGATCATCTGACACAACTTACACAACCTCATCAAATACATATGGTTTATTATAATTCATGAACATAATTTATGCTAAAGCTTGATTGCATAGTACATATTTGTAAAAACATTTATAATTGATACAAGTATAGAAAAGCATTATTAATATGTTTTTGGAGGAAAGTGTATGTATAAAACAGTATTATGATCAGTGTAGGTGCAAGAGTATTGTAAGGACTGTACCGTAAAAATATTGGCAGCAATTATGACAAAATGTTCTATTAGCAGTACTAAAGATTTTTGAACAGAATTATCTCAAAACGAAAATGGCCTAATCCTGTTGCCTGTTTCTGTCTTTATTCATAACCTCACCAGCTGCAGTATAGCCCCTGCAGTATTACTGGTACACTAATGTTAATGTGAAAAGTCATAAACACCAAGAAGTGTTTACACTCTTTCATATTAACATGAATGTACGAGTATATATATGCTGAGAGTTTACTTTGATCTTTGTTATATTGATTAAAGTAACTCCAGTTGGTGGTGTACAAATAACATGCAGTCCTAATGACTCATGTAATCGATAGGTTTAAACCTGATAAACCAACCATGCTAATATTAATGTGACCCTTTTACCACTTTTGTATCATAATGAGCCATCAATGGTCTTCCTGTCATTTTTATTACATTGCCTTCATGCTCTGGTGATTCAACAAATATGCTGATGAAAAACAATCTTGAGATATTCTACTTACTTTTTCTAATATTTCTTTCTTATTAGATATGTTCTATGTTATTTTATTTCATATACAGCATTTAGTTGCCACATATCTGTCTGTCTATAGTTTTGATGCCTTACGTTAGATGGTGTAAATATATATTTTTTCTAAATATCTTTCTAATTGCAAATTAAGAAATGCAGATATGGGTCATCCATATGCAAGATTCAAAATGTTTGAAGGACAGTATGATATGTATTCAGATTTTTTATACAGTGATTACCTATTTGTAGCTCATAATTTAGGTTATTGTATGTTGTTTTTCTATACAGTATCTTTGATATCTTGTTCCCCATTGTGACTTATTTAGTATTTTCTATAAGGATCAAACCTGCCATGTCACAAGCACGAAATATAATACAGTATTGACAAAAGCCAACGTCCCGCTTAGGCCCATCATTTCAGGCATTGGCAGTGCTGTTCCTCATAAATTAGCTGGAAATCAACCCAAGCATTTATCAAAACTTTTGGGGACAATCAGCTACATACATTCAAAAAATTCAGGCAACCTCAACCATGTTAAACACATTAATGTTAGAAACAAGATATTGGCAAGCCTGGCTATAACTTCTTTGTTTACATCCATCCACATGACCCAGACTCTTGAATCTCTTCAAAGGAAGATCAGGTATCTTGTTAAGGATTTTCTAATGTTAACTCTATACATGTAAAACTTTGGCATGGCAGTGGGGTCTCCCATTAGAAATTCACCCCTTTGTGGAATGTGGATTAAATCTGAGTTCCTCATAACATTTAGAAGGTTCAACATCCCCCACCTACAACAAAGGCTCAACCTAACTGAGCCTTCCACTAAATTCACACTTGAAGAGGAATGAGCAGACAAACTTTTCTTCCTTGGTATGCTCCTTTCAAAATGTATAAGAAACCAACTAATAAGGACAATTTAATGCACTTCCACTTAGATCATGACAAGATGAAACGTTAGCTGTCATTGAATTCTGTCCAAGGGCATACACGGTATGTAGCCCTTAACACTTTAAGGATAACTGTGGCTACTTTCACTGGGTCTTCTCTAGACTACACTTTCCCTCACATTTTGTCAATGAATTTTAGACACTGCTCTGCAAATCACTAACACCCCCACACTTAACATATCTCTGATAAGCTTTGCCAGCAGTAAGAAGGCTAATAATATTTCTAGTGCCTTCTCTAAATATTACCATTAGAGACTTAACCAGCAAGAAATCTGCAAGTCTAGTTGAAACTAAAGCTGAAATTTACGTCATATGTGGAGAATGAGTGTAAGTGTGCCTGCTATTCTGACAATGTTAATACCTGTGTTACATTCTTTTTGATTATAATAATAATAATACCTGTGTTACAGAAATAGATACAACCACTTGCTGAAGTAGAATGGTTTACATAGCCATTACTGGTTAGAATTTCCAATCATTTGTCTTAATATAGCTATACAGAACACAGGGTGTTTCAGATGTCTCCAGAGTTTTAGCTAAATGAACTGCAGACTATCAGGACAGGTATCAGATGTTGTCATCAGTAATTTTATGCAATTGGCTTACACTACAACTGACCACCATGCTACTATATATATCTCTTGTTTTGCTGTTTCTGCATTGGATGGCTCTGGTGGTCTGGTGGTTAACGCTCTCGCTTCACACGGTGAGGGCCTGGGTTCGATTCCCAGCCAGAGTAGAAACATTGGACGTGTTTCTTTCCACCTGTTGTCTATGTTCCCCATCAGTAAAATGGGTACCTGGGTGTTAGTCGACTGGTGTGGGTCGCATCCTGGGACACTGACCTAAGGAGGCCTGGTCACAGACCGGGCCGCGGGGGCGTTGACCCCCGGAACTCTCTCCAGATAAACTCCAGATTAAGCCCCTGATAGGCAAAACCTGTCCATACTAAAGTTATCCTGGCATAATTTCCTCCGTACATTGAAGATTCTTGAGGGGTCACCCAATTCATCTGTTAAAAGATTTCTACAATTACTGTCATTAAGGAATAAGAATATGGAAAGACTGGGAGGGTTGCTTTAGTATGTACTGGTGAGAATAGCATGTATGTCTTGCAATTAGCAGACAGAAGGTAGAATCTCCACCACTCCTTTTCCCGAATAATGAACATCGATTTAGCACTTCATGTAAATATAACAGTACGGTAATAATCAGCATGTGTAGAACATACCGGTATATGTGAGAAACAGGATGAAAGACAAAAAAAAAAAGGCTGTCAGGTACAAGCTAAGAAAAATAAAGAATGGGAATTACTGTGACCCATAAAATAAATATTAATGATAGGAGAGTAGTACATGTATTCATTAAAAGGACAGTATAAAATGGAAAAAAAATATATACTGTACAGTACTGCATTGTACTGTATTTGTCAAAAAGAAGAAACTTTCACTGGTGAATGGGTACGTCATCTATGTGGTCTTTTTCGTTAATACTGTACATTAATTCAGAATAGATGACAAAAAAAAAAAGTAAGAAACGTGTGATCTCAAAATACAGGGCTGACTTGAGTATATACCCAAAAATTCTATCAACAAATAAGGAAAGGTAATAAAAAATTTGATATGTCTGCTTCTCCAACAGTAGTGCTTCTGAGAGCCACTTGGGTTTACCAGTTCAAAAGTTATAATTTTTTTTTTTTTTACAACTGGGTAAAACTATGTATAACATTTTAAATACAGTACAGTAGGGCAATAGCCCCACTGTACTGGGGCAATAGCCCCACTCCACAAAGGGGACAGTAAAGCAATAGCAAAGAACTACAGACCGATAGCACTAACATCCCATATCATAAAAAACTTTGAAAGGGTCCTAAGAAGCAAGATTGCCACCCATCTAGATACCCATCAATTACACAACCCAGGACAACATGGATTTAGAGCAGGTCGCTCCTGTCTGTCTCAGCTACTGGATCACTATAACAAGGTCCTAGATGCACTAGAAGACAAAAAGAATGCAGATGTAATATATACAGACTTTGCAAAAGCCTTTGACAAGTGTGACCATGGTGTAATAGCGCACAAAATGCGTGCTAAAGGAATAACAGGAAAAGTTGGTAGATGGATCTATAATTTCCTCACAAACAGAACACAAAGAGTAGTAGTCAACAGAGTAAAGTCTGAGGTGGCTACGGTAAAAAGCTCTGTTCCACAAGGCACAGTACTCGCTCCCATCTTGTTTCTCATCCTCATATCTGACATAGACAAGGATGTCAGCCACAGCATCGTGTCTTCCTTTGCAGATGACACCCGAATCTGCATGACAGTGTCTTCCATTGCAGACACTGGAAGGCTCCAGATGGACATCAACCAAATCTTTCAGTGGGCTGCAGAAAACAATATGAAGTTCTTCGATGAGAAATTTCAATTACTCCGATATGGTAAACATGAGGAAATTAAAACTTCATCAGAGTACAAAACAAATTCCTTCCACAAAATAGAGTGAAAAACCAACATCAAAGACCTGGGAGTGATCATGTCGGAGGATCTCACCTTCAAGGACCATAACATTGTATCAATCGCATCTGCTAGAAAAATGACAGGATAGATAATGAGAACCTTCAAAACTAGGGTTTGTTCTATCTAGGCTGGAATATTGCTGCACACTAACAGCACCTTTCAAGGCAGGTGAAATTGCTGACCTAGAAAATGTACAGAGAACCTTCATGGCGTGCATAACAGAGATAAAACACCTCAATTACTGGGAGCGCTTGAAGTTCCTGAACCTGTACTCCCTGGAACGCTGGTGGGAGAGATACATGATTATAACACCTGGAAAATCCTAGAGGGACTAGTACCGAACTTGCACACGAAAATCACTCACAACGAAAGCAAAAGACTCGGCAGACGATGCAACATCCCCCCAATGAAAAGCAGGGGTGTCACTAGCACGTTAAGAGACAATACAATAAGTGTCAGGGGCCTGAGACTGTTCAACTGCCTCCCAGCATACATAAGGGAGATTACCAATAGACCCCTGGCAGTCTTCAAGCAGGCACTGGACAAGCACCTAAATTCGGTACCTGACCAGCTGGACTGTGGCTCATGTGTTGGATTGCGTGCAGCCAGCAGTAACAGCCTGGTTGATCAGGCTCTGATCCACCAGGCAGCCTGGTCACAGACCGGGCCGCGGGGGCGTTGACCCCCGGAACTCTCTCCAGATAAACTCCAGGTAACTTAAAATTGCCTATAGCAATTCATTTTAACCTATAGCAATGACGGAATTTCAGGCACAAATAAACTCAGTGGAAGTTTTTATTAGTAGAGTAAATGCATATCAATATTTAAACAATAAGAGACTTAATATAATAAAGGCAAAATAATTGTAATTTTTTTTTAAATATATACAGTACCATTCTGTATTGCAAAAGCTGACAACTAAGTTTGTGGCTTGTTGAAGACTACAATAAATATGCATGATACCCCAAACTAAATTATTATTATCATGATATTTAGGGAAGCACAATGCTCATAGGAGTCATACAGTGCCCGGGGAGTGGGAGGCAATTGGGTTTGATCCAAGGAAGTAGAGGACAAGATAGCAGCACCCTTGAGGGGACACCTGACTACAGATTATTAGTTTTATATTGGTACCTTATATACTAGAATAAATACAGGTAGTGAAGTCCTTTTTTCATTATCAGTGACCATGTAAAGATTTTTAATAAAGTTCTTAAAAGCTAAATATGCTCTTCAATGTGAAACTTATTACACTCCATTAGGTTAGGTTAGGTAAGGTCTGTCAGGAAACAGGACAATGTTTCCTGATGTGGGTCTTAGTCACATGATGACCTGCAGCTGGACCTTGTGGTCATCTGACCGAGCCCTTCTGCTGGCTTACCAGTTCACCCCTTTACAAATTAAGGTTATAATTATAACCATTACTACCATATTACATTATACTCCATCAAAGGTAGGATGCATATTACTGAAATTGGCAGCCCATGTCACTATGATATGGGCTGTCACTGACATGTTCTGCCTTGCCTCAGAGAATTTCCCTCTGGTGGCTAACGCTCTCGCTTCACATGGCGAGGGTCTGGGTTCGATTCCCAGCCAGAGTAGAAACATTGGGCGTGTTTCTTTCCACCTGTTGTCTATGTTCCCCATCAGTAAAATGGGTACCTGGGTGTTAGTTGACTGGTGTGGGTCGCATCCTGGGACACTGACCTAATTTGCCCGACATGCGGAGCATAACAAGCAGCTTTCTATATAGTAGTGCTGTATAGTCCTTGTGGCTTAGCGCTTCTTTTTGATTATAATAATAATCTATATAGTAGTATGTCATT